GGGAAAAAAAAAAAAAAAAAAACCGAACCACCCCACCCAAAAAAAAAAAAAAAAAACCGGGGGGTGTGGGGTGGGGAAGAAGATATAACAACTATATTTTTTTGAAGTTGTTACAACAAGCAAACGGAAAGGACATTCTTGGGGGGGAGGGGAGAGAGGGAGGAGGGCGGGAGGTGTCGGTGAAGGGCCATAATAATCATATACATTGTATATTGACAAAATAAAAATTAAAAAAAAAATAATAAAAAAAAAAAGAAAAGAAAAAAATCAAAGTCAAAAAAAATAAAATAAAATAAAGATGGCGGGCAAGTTTTTGAATCCTTGAGGCAGGCGGGTCCACGTGAGTTGTCCTGCTAGGCCAGTCTCTGGATCTTTCCACTAGAAGGCAAAGTAATCTTGACTTTTTACAGTCAGCGGCAAACAGAAGAATGCATCCTTGAGATCTAGTACTGAATGCCAGGTCCTGTCTGGAGGTAAAGAACTTAAAAGATTATAGGGGTTAGGAGCTGTGGAGTGGAGGTCGGTAACCCGCTTATTTACCTCTCGGAGGTCCTGGACCGGTCGGTAATCATTAGTCCCAGGTTTCTGGACCGGCAGCAAGGGCATGTTCCAGGCTGATTGGCACTTCCGTAGGATCCCCAGCTGGAGCAAACGGGCAATGTGGGGTCGGATGCCTTCGTGTGCCTCCCAGGACATTGGGTATTGTCGGACAGCTATAGGGCTGGCCTGAGCCTTCAGCTCTACATGGACGGGGGGCCGGTTTTTAGCCTTCCCTATCCCTGCAGTTTCTGCCCATGCCTGGGGGTAGTTTTCTAACCACCAGTCCATCTGTCCAGTCTCCCACCCTTGTTTTTCAAACAATCGGTATTCATCCTCCAGCCCGAGAGTTAGTACCTGGAGAGGCCTTCCTTGTCAATTTAACACCCAAGGTCCCTCGGGGTCAAAATGAATTCGAGCACCCATTTTGGTGAGGAGGTCTCTTCCCAGTAGTGGGTAGGGGCACTCAGGAATGACAATGAACGAGTGGGATACCTGGCCCATGCCTAGGTCCACCATTCTTCGGGTAGTCCATGAGTACTGCCTGTACCCTGTGACCCCTTGTATCCACAACTTCCCTTTGAGAAGAGGTCCATTTGCTTGTTGTAATACTGAATTTTCTGCTCCAGTATGTACCACGAACTGAGTAGGCTTACCCTCCACTTTTAGAGTTACCCTGGGTTTGGGGAGGGGGTCCAAACCCCATCCCCTCTAATCACTGTCTTCCTGCAGGGCCAAGACTTTGGGGGCCTGAGGCTTTTTCTTTTTCTTGGGTCATTCTCGAACCAAGTGTCCCTTCTCCTTGCAGTATGCACATTGATCCTTGCCAGGGGACCCTTCTTGTTGCCTGGCACTGTCTTATTAGGCTCCCTAGTTTCCCTGACTACAGTGGCCAGAATTTTGTGAAAATTTCTTTCTTGGCGCTTTTCCCTCTTTATTTCTTTAGCTTCCTGATCTTTCTGCTTTCTCTCTTCCTTTTCTTCCTCTGACTCTCTGTTATGATAAACCTTTTCAGCCACCTGCACTAAT